ATATATTTGCTCAGGTTTTGCGTGTATGACCGGTTGCACTGTAATTATCGATTATGCCAGAGTATACTCGTTTAAAAAATATGTATTTCACATGATATATTTGAGCTTGTTGTGCAAGGTTGCTACCGCAACATATACCGTTCCATCATCAACTCACAGATGGCCCATAAATTAGGTTTTGCCCTACTTTCTTGATATACAATACTTTTACCCATCCACCATTGATACTTTCATAGAGAGTCCTACAATATGGTACAAGAAGGTGCCGCTCCTGCTGCTGGAGCCGATGCTGACGATATGATCATCATTAGTGATGACGAGATACAACCCGGGGTTACTAAGGCAACCGATACTGAGAGTACTTCAGATACGCAACCACATCCTCCCGAACATGCATCCACAAACGGGGTACCAGACAGGGATACGGCCGAACAAGGGAGTGTGCCTCAGGTAGATTCAGGTGTAGAGACCACACAGAAACCCAGTCCCACACACGCCAACGGGTCCACCGAGGCAGGCGCTGTAGGCGATGGTGTTGCTGACGGCGCAGGTAATGGGACAGACAAGAATGCCACAGACAAGAACGTCACAGATAAGAGTACTGACGCGAGCCAAGTACCCAGCACAGGCAGTAAGAAGGTCAAGCGGAAGGGAATGGCTGCCGGTGATGCTGACGGTATGGGCGTTGTCAGTAGTGTACGGAAGACTAGAGAGTGCGAACTTCCTGTTGTCCGCTGAAGGATTCTGGTTGTGTGATGTGACGTGGTGTGTTTAAGAGATGATGGTGCAAGTGTATTGCCTCATCTCTTCATGGGCGTTTGTGTGGTTGCTGGTGTGGTTGTTGCATACAGAGTATGCTTGCTCAGAGTGAATAGTGTTGTTCCGTCTCCTGCTAGTCTTTAGAGACATTTTTGTGGTAGTTACGCACAGTATATTTGCGGTGCATTTTGCTTTACTGTTTCTAATGTTAAGCTGAATCAAAACTTCGGAATGTTTCTATCTGTAATCCAATGACCTGCACACATGGGAGCCCTAAAAGCCACATTCAAACCGGATCAAACCCCCAACGCGCGTTTACATCTGGACGCACATAAAACTCAAACTAGCGGTCACAGAAGCTAATATTGTTCGAAACAATGGCCTACAATCCGTTGATCCATTGATGTTGCTGGTACGTTGTCCGAAATACCCGCTCGCAGCGAAACATGACTGAGAACTAATGGGACATTTAATTTACCACAGCCCTGTCATCGGACGAGGAGACCGAGATGGAGAAATGGTTCAAGAAACTGCCAGACAAGCACGAGGTTAAGACCGTCCGCGTGGAGCTGGATATGGAACTCGCACGAGATTTCAGTCTACAGGATATCCTGGATTCAGAGGATGAGCGCGACAGAGAGTACAACAGACACCTGGCGGAAGAAGGCGCGCTTTCCGAATCTGAGATCATGGAAGAAGTGTGTTGTGTGTGGTTGTTGGCTTGTTGTATGTGTAGTAAGCGTATGGGATTGAGTTTTGCTTTCGAGGTGTGTGTTCTGCCTTATGCGCGTTTAGTTATTTCTGTGTATACGCACGGTTTGTATATTTGATATGTGTACATGTGCAAGTATATTTATATACACACACACACACACACACACAC